TTTTTACTGCATATGATAATTCATACTCAGAAAGTAGAACTGAAAGGGGAGAGAAGAAATGGGAGAGCAGAGTGGGGAGGACCTCCTTCATTAAGGGGCGAGACTCATGCTCTCGCAGTGAGAGCATTCCATCTAATTGAGTGCAGCTTCTGCTTGGGCGCTGCCCAGACAGGTGACGCACTCACTATGCCCACGAGCCACACTCGCGGTGTGACATTTTCAGCAACATTGCTGGAAATTTGCTCCGAAATTTGTTCTTAGATGTGCCAGATGGCCGCAAGGAAGGCTTCTTGCTCCTTCCGCTGCCGGGGGCTCCTTCTACGGCTGGTGAGTAGCAGGCTGAGCTGAGCTTCTTCCTTCTTCCTTCTTCAGCTTCTTGCTTGCAGAATCAGCAAGGAGATGATCTTTGTCGCTGAAGGAGAAAAATTCTGACGAAATGGCGCTCAGAGCTGATTTATATAGAGGTTGGCTCCTCCCCTTTTGGCAAGTTGAAGCGCCATTGGTTCGTGCAGCTACACGAATGTGAACAAATCAGTCTGTATTATCAGAGTAAACAGGAGTTTCCCCATAAGCATGTTAATGCAATGGGAGAGACTGTTTGAAAGCGAACTAAGGAAATGTTTTCATGACAACAATGAACTAAAAACTTTCGCATACAGACGACAGCATTGTCAAAATGATCCCCTTCCTGCAAAAAAACTAAAAATGCTGTATTATGGTTGTCAAGTACTTGCGCATGTCTATAGACTGAACACGTAATACACGTTTTCACAAATTTGCTTTGTAGTTCAATAACAGTATTTTGAAAAACAGTTTTCAGGCCCCCCAAACTGCCATTGTTGTGTAAATGAATGGCCAAAATGCATTAAAAAGTTTTCTGTCTTTATTCGAAAACAGTATCATTTGAACACCCCCTAAAGCAGAAAGATACATAGAAATATTATAATTTTATGGTGGTTTTTGGAGCATGGTAGTCCATGATCAATTTATGCTTTCATATGGATGTGTGCAGTGTGCACAATTATCATAATTTCTCATTGCGTGTCTTGCAGAAGAAAGGAAGTCACATTTCAAATGTGTGATTAAATGATGACCCTGAGCTGTAAAACCACCTGATCATGTGAAAGCTTCTGCTCACTTTCTATTTTTGCTTTTATGTTCTTTCACCTGCAGATTTACAGAACAAAGTCAGCCAGTATTCCTCCACCAGGGAGAATCTGAGTTCTCCACGTCTACATATACTTCTACCACTCAACGCAAAAGTTCCATTCAAACCTGAAGAGGAGGACACTAATGTAGTCTTCCAAGAAAACCTTCCAGAACTGGAGCGTGACACAGCAGGGGTGCGGAAACGCAGCTACAAGAACAGTGTCTACAAGATCATCCAGAATAATGAGGTGGGCTAATGCTGGTACTGTATTACTGGTAATTGAAGTCCTTTGATACTGGAAATGATCAAGAACTTTAAAAAAAAAAAAA